GGCGGTAGGTCGAAAGTTTTTTTACGAAATGTAGTGGGGTGGGCCGGTGGCGTAGGCGGAGGTCGTGGGCTTTTTAATTGGCCGCTCCATTGTTTTTAATTACAAGGGACTAGCAGAAATTGATTAATTCGGGATGCCGTTCGGATGCCGTGATCCCACTTCATTAAGCGTGTTAATTGATTATAAACTTATATTAAACTTTATCATACATGATAATAAACATACATGGTAATAAACTTTATCATGTATGTTTATTAAGCGTGTTAATTGATTAATTTAATTTCATAACAATATTATATATTAATCTACTACTTATAAACTAAAGGAGAATAACAAAAAAATTCTGATGAACAGTAAAATAACCACCAAAACAGCCTCTCCAACTAAGCATTTTATTGCTTTTATTAAAAAAATTAATTAATAACCAAATAACCGCTCGTCATTTCTAATATAACTGTATCCCCTTAACATATTCTTCCATTCAGCGATAACCGCCTCACATTCTCCGATAACGCCGCCCCTCTCACATTCTCCCATTATCAAAGATCATTATAAGTTTTACTACCCAGCAATATTGTTATTTCTGGAGTCTGGGATTTAAGCCTAACTTGTCTAAAAGGCTAATTTGATTTTTGTACGACGGCCTCATACTCAAATTAGCTCCGCTACTATATTTTTTTTCTCCACTTGATCAAGCCTATTTGGTTTGATTTCCATAAATAAATAAATAAACAAATAAAGAAAAGCGGGCAAAAAAAAGTACCCAAGTATTTCTATAGATTTTATGGAAATCTTTTTACTAGTGTCAAAAAATGGAGGTCTATATCTTTTATACGTTTCCTAGTTTAGTTCAGAAGAACAAAATATGGAAACCAAAAAAAAAGTTTTCTAGATTTCTTGCCATTTTTTGTTTAGTTCACTTGAGAAAGAAGAAAAAGAAGTAAAGATTTCTACTTGGTTTTAATGGGATAAAGTAGATTTTGTCAGATTTGACCTTATTTCCTCTCTCAAATAGAGAGAAGCGGGTTTCTATAAAATATACTATTTTTTCTACTTTATAGAGATCTATCTCAATAAAAATCTGGTGAAGGAAACTGAGTTTTAGAAAGCCTGTAGAAACTATGTAATTACGAAAATGCCACTGTTAGATGGTTTCCATAAATTTTTATATAACATTGGTGAACCAAACAGCCGCTTAGTTTTTGTACTACACCTCAACTAAGTCCTACTTTATTCAAGTGTTTGTTTATGGCCATATTGCCCTCGCAGACATCGCAATAGAATTGAGCCCGTGTACTTTTAATTAATTGTAAATTGAAGAGTGACCTCCCAAATAAGATCATCTGTCTAAAGAATAAAAAACCAGAAAAAGAGGGAGGCTTCCAAACTGATAGAAGTTAAAGAGACATCGATTCATCCATCATCTCCATCGAGATGCTAAGGATAAATGTCACCATGTTGGTGTTGGCTTCAAGGATGATGGTAGTGGACATGCTTGTTCATCATCTCCATCGAGATGCTAAGGATAAATGTCACCATGTTGGTGTTGGCTTCAAGGATGATGGTAGTGGACATGCTTGTTGAGGCCGTAGAAGAAGGCAACCCCACACATCACATGAAAATGATAATGTT